GTACAGCTGCGTTAGTGCGGACTACTGACTTCCATACACTGGGGTGAGGGCACTTTGGTCATCACATTTTAGGCAGAACTTCAAAGGTAGAGTTCAGACTTTCAGTCAGCTTCATGTTTGGACTTTGTTAGGGGTACTAAGAAAGGAGTGAATGTAATAGGTTAATAAAAGACAACTATATAAAACCAACAAACCCAAAGCATCTCAGAGGCAATTTATGTTCGCTGAATAATCTCAGTTGTAAAATGTAACCTCATACACCAGGGTTCAGAGAGCATAAGAAGATTCAGATATAACACTTTAACACATCTTAATACCACTGGGGTTGGACACTATGGACATGCTTTATTTTTCGTTTTTTATATAATATCATATGATATGATGGTGTGATGACTGTCCATATGTTCAACACCTTTTCTCTAAGTCATTTTTCATCCTTACACATAACTTGGACATCTATGGTTTGATTTCTTTGCAGGTGTGGATTGGATGGGTTGTTACAAACATCTGCTGAGAATTTCATGTCAATAATATATTTACTTAGAAAATTAGTGATGTGTTCAATACTTATTTTACCCCTGTATATATTCAGAAAAACACTTCTAAATATATGAGTTATGACTTCTGCTGCAACAATCAGATGTTTGGGTGAGAATTTGATGTAAAAACATGAACACATCTGTGTTTACTACCAACCACAGATTACTTGAGTATTGTTGCTGGCCCACCCCTTTAGGACCACAACTTACTGACGGATGATTGCTTTTCAATCATCAAACTGTCTGGATTCCTCCATCAGCTGATGTGATCCAAACGCACAGTGGCTGGATGTATGGCTAAATAATGGATCCTGACCACCCTCTGCACGTATTCAACACACTGCTGGCCACTGTTTTCAAATTCAAATGTAAGAAGGACTTCATTTCATATTTTTGGATTTAGAATTTGATTAATTGAATTCCTTTTTCTTTGTTTCTATTTTTTTTTTAAACATTTTTAAGCACATCTGTTGGGATTATTTTTTGCATATTTTTACATATTTATTTTTGGCCTTCAGGCTTCTTCTGGGCATATACTCTACTAGATAAGCTACTGTGGTGCCCTGCACTCCCAGCTTTAAACCCTAAGACACTTTTTTAAAAGGGTGAATCTATTCATGAGGCCAAAAACAGGCTGTAAACATTTCCATTTCATGGCTCAGTTTAGGCATTTTAACATGCGACTCTATGGGAACTGACTCAATTTGGAGCCTCGAGTGGCCATTACATGAACTGTAGTTTTTGGTAATTGCACATTTTATTTTTTCATTTTATTTAATTTCAGTTGCACCACATGAACTTTGTCTTTTGTATTATTACAGTTTATATATTTTGAATTAAATGATAAGGACTGATAATGAGAACTTGTAATTATTAATGCTCTCCCATTTTTGTTAACCAATAAGTAGCTAGCAACAGTGGCATGGGAACAGACGAAGGCAAGAAGGGAACAGTTTGACATCAATAAAACGCTCAAAAACATATTTAGAAAAACAGAGCGAAGCGATGAGAGGATTGCTGTGGGGGATGTGGCAGTCCTGAAGACATTAAGAGGGAGAACAGGTGTTGTTGCACCATCATGAAACATTTCTGTGCCAAAACCCCCCGAAAAAAAAGTCAATGTAAATCCCTACATGCTGCCAAGATATATACATAAATCTTATAAAGTTTGTATCTGTCTTGTGTGGAACTTGTATGAAAAGCATACAAGAGTGAAAACAGATATAAGATCCCTTGAAAAATTATATAAATGAAACTTGTATATTTTGGATACTTACTAAAACAATATATGAAAGTAATGAGAAAGTGGCCACTTTCATGAGTAAATCATATAAGCCTGATATGATTCACTATATGAAGTAAGCCAGATCTTATGCAAGTCTTATAAGTTTTTACTATTTCTTTTTCATGTGGGAATGCTGTGCAGAAAAACTGAAAAATCATGCAATGAGGATACAGTGAAGAAAATATTAACAGTGAACTGAGCTGATCTGAAATTCTATTTTTGTAACTTCTGTGTCATATTTAAAAATTCATTCAGATTTAGCCATTGAGATCTAGGCTGAATAAAGCCAACCTGAATCGCTTCATGACTCATCTGTCAGGCCCTGAAAACTCATTCACATGAAAGCTGGTGAATGCTCCAAGTTCTCTTGAATCCTTTCTGGACGAGACAAAAGAATGAATGTCTTTGTGGACTGAGCTGTTCTTTTTAGACGTCCACTGTATTTCATGACTGCCTGCTCTGAACATTGGACAGAAATATACATTGGGGATTTCACTGATACAATCTGAAGTACCAGTGAAGTAAAACATTATGCAACTGTAGTAAATACATCCTTTTAGGTTGTGACCACAGAAAGTATTCAATAGACGAACTTCAGGCTCTGTAAAGACGCGTCTTTTCCTGGTAATGGTTCACGGGGGTATGATTTCTGTGTAAAACGTAATATTTCCTCTTTCGATTTAGAAAACCAGATTGCTCTAATAAATAACTAATATAAAGAAAGAAAGATGCATTTAAGAGACCATGGGAAGAAAAGATTAATGTAGACACAGTAATGCAGTTACGGCAAAAGCACAAGTGTATCTAAACACACAAAGGGGGATTGCTGCTGGTGTCTGTTTCACATCTTTCCCTGGACAGACAATTTTTCACGTCCAATTTGATTTTGTTCTATCAGATGAACTGTTACTATGCTTCCACATTATAGACTGCAATCACCTGCACCAGTTAAGTACGAGTTTAATAATCTAAGAGCATTTCTGTCAGGGATGTGATTAGAAGTCACCGAAACTCTCTGAATGTTGGACTAATCTTGGAAGCACTTACGTCACCAAAAGGAAATCCTACAGCAGATGCTCTTTCAGTAACATTAGCTCTATGAATGGCCATGAAGTGGGCCACTGCAACATTAATGAAGGATTCTACAATATACAGGCATGTGAAAAATACAGTTTTGAAACACTTTAGGCAAAACCACATCAACTGCCAAGGAAGGTGGTGGAGGGGTAATGATTTGAGTCACAGGACTTGGGAACCTCGCAGCGATTGAGTTGACCACGAACTCCTCTGTATACCAAAGTATTTTAAAGTCAAAATGTGAGGCCCAAATTGGGTCATGCATCAGGTGAAAGATCCCCAAACAGCAGCAAATCTACACCAGAATCACTGAAAAAGTATAGACTGAAGGTGTTGCAGAGGCCCAGTCAAAGTCCAGACCCTCGCCTGATTAAAATGCTGTGGCTGGACCTTAAAGAGCTGTGACCCGTGATGCATGTGAATGCATGTTGTGGACAACATCAACAGAACAATGTGTTGCACCCATACAGTTTATGCAACAAAGCTTCGTTAGCCTCACCCTCCTGAGACCCAGCACATTCACCATGTCCTCTGCAGTGGGAAAATCTGAAAGATACTTTTTTCCTTGGTTCTCAGGAGGTTAGATAGTGAGTCTTAACTTTTCACCTTCTTGTCCAAATAAGGTTGATTGCAGCTCCAAGAAAGACACTATCATTGAGGCTTCAAATTGGGAAGCCAAGAAACCAGTGCATGGCATCATGGTGGCTATGACCATCTGTTATATACAGTCTATGGTATTATTATGTAATTTCATTCCAAATTGGCTGGAAAACAGTTATAACCAATGATCAAGTCACACAAATCATCAAATTTCATTCTGCATTCTAAGTGGTATTAAAAGATCCTAAATCAAAGGTTATATACTAAGTAATGTACTGTTCTGGGCAGAATTAGGAACAAAGGAATAAAGGCATGTGACAGAATAAAAGAAAAAAAACCCCTCATATTATTATACAGTAACCCTGGTTATAAAAAAGATTGAATAGCTGATTAAAGCTGCACCTCTTGGGCTTTTACTACATTGGTGAGGTTATTACTGCACCGAGCTCCACACAGAATTGGGGAACAGATCTAAGTGTGAATCTATATATTCACAGCAACTGGAGTGGGCAAAAAGCTAAATGTTAATCATCATTCTAACTGCACTTTAATACAGAGATTTATATTTCTTCCTGTTACCTGGCCCATATTCCACTGTCCTTGCTGCATGCTGTACATGTTCTGTCCTTGGTTGGCAGGCATCGCACCCTGCTGCATGCTCATGTAGCCCCCATTTGGCAGTGCCATCCCAGACACCATGGCCCCAGACCCCATCATGGTGGTGGTGGGTGGGATACTTCCAGCCACTGCTGTGGCGTAGCCCTGCGGAGTGAACTGCATCTGAGGCTGGCCCATGTACACACTGCCTGCAATACAAGACAACAGAATATGCCTTCAAACTTTGCCTTCAAATTCAAGAATCTTATAAGAATCTTCAGGAAGTCAAACATCCCAAATTACAATCAATAAAACAAACAAACGTACTAGCACTCATCCTGTAAAGATGTTGAGAAACAGTAAAATCATAAAAACAAACGGGGAATGCACAAAGAACAGTGAGGTGAAGAGCTGCAGGTGATATCCTTTGACTGGGATTTCATTGAAGAGTGACATCTCTAACAGGTCACCAAAGAGTGCTGCATTCAGTGTGTGGCAAGAAGACGGATGATAATAGGGAAAGGCAGATTCTTGACATTTTTATTAAAAATGATGACCTGATGAACCTTCTTAGAGCCAAAGAGTCACTAGCTGCTCTTGTATTGCCCACATGCCATCAGCAATGCACTGGGTCACCGTGACAAAGTGATAAAAAGCTCTGGTGCAACTTGAGGCAGATGAGATGTGTAGTTTGAGGACCTTGGAATTTTGTCTGTTTTTTGAAGACAATGTTGTTAAATTGGCTTTGTGAGACAATGACCTTCAGTTGGTACTAAGGAGGTTTTCAGCAGTGGTTGAAATAGCTGTAATGTCAGCATTTCATAGTCTAAAGATACAGTGTCTTTCCTAAAAACATTGAATTGCTTCCTGCAGGCTGGCACTAAGTTGCCAGGCTTTTACTGCAGCCACCTTCAGTGGTTTTTCTGTGGGTCTCTCTGCCTTCGGTAACTGAAATTATGCTCTTATGGACTGACATCAGATGACTGCATTGTATTAACGAATATACACTTTCTTTCCTTAAAAAAATTGTAGAGTTGCTATAGCAATATGTTTTGGGTCATTTTCAGTGAAGTGGTTGGCTTTGTCAACCTCACTGCAAGGTACTGTACTTGCAGTATATAGAATAAAGTCCTGTATGCCTGTATGGTGGGAAATCACACAAACTGGTTACTGTGCAAGTACAAAAACAATTTCCATTTGTGCTATGAAGCTGTATCCAATCAGTTTTGAAGCATTTGGCTCAATCTGAGCTCATGAGTTCATCCTTCTACTTCTGTTGTTTACATCATTAATAAATAGAACCTTGGTTCTACCATGTTCGACAGATGAGTTTCCTCCCTACTGTGGCTGGACTCTTTCTCAGGGCTGGACTCTCTCTTTCTCAAAACTGGGGACCGAAAGTTATGTTCCAACTATAGGTTGATCACATTCTTTAATCTCCCTGGGAAAGTCTATGCCAGAGTACTGGAATGGAGAATCCTTCCATTACTTGAACTTCAGATCCAGGAGGAATAATGCGGTACTGGTCTACATGTGTTTTGTTTACTTCAAAGGCTTCAATTGGGGGGTTCTTTGGGAAAATGGGGTATTTGGTCCATTGTAAATGGCAATTTGGTACCTGTGCAACCACAGCAAGAGCCTAGTCTAAATTGCCAGCATTTAATGTGGCTCATTTACAGTGGGTGTTTGATTCTGCCAAGGCTGCCTTTAATCACCGATTCTGTTCATAGTTTTTATGAACAGAATATCTAGGTGTAGCCAGGTGTTGGAGCGCCTACACTTTGGTGGCTTCAACATTTCATCTTTGCTTTTTAAAGATGATGTTCTATTTTGTTGTCTTCATTAGGTTGTGTTCCGTTCCTCGCACTGGAATGGTTTGCAGCCAGGTGTGAAGAAACTGGAAAGAGAATCACCTTGATTCTCTGCCAGAAAACAGGGAAGTGCACACTACAGGTTTTGAGTTGCTGCCCCAATTGGAGTAGTTTAAGTATCTCAGGATCTTGCACTACCAAGTAGATCTTGTAGTTGGTCAGGGAAGAGTGGAGTGGGAGATTGACAGACAGATTGAACCAATGTCTGATGCATGATAGGGTGAGTAGCTTGGTCATTCAAAAGTAGAGCTGCTGGTGATCCACAGTGATTATGTCTCCTAGGTGAGATGTTTTGGGCATGTCCTACGAAGAGGAGACCCCCAGGCCTCACCGGAGATTTGGCTGGTGTTGGAATTTTCATGTGTATCAAATGGACTTTTGGCTGAAACAATCCTTGGATACAAGATATGACATCCACAGTTAGCTCATTTAAACCAGGTGATGAGGCTCAAGTTTCCTGTGCGACTTCCACTGAATGTTTTCCAGGAAAAGAGATCCTGACCTCTTACCAGTTACATAGTTCACACTTCACACACTGGGAACACTTCATAACCTCACAAGAAGAAACAGAACAGGTTGTTGGGGAGAAGGACATCTGCAGAGTTAGCCTGATACCATCAGGCAGGCAAAAACAAACTATTTTTGCCTGCCTCCCTGCTTTGCTCTGTGCATGTACAAAATGAGAGACTCTCCTCTCATATTATAATATATCCTCTTTAGCACAAGTCATAATGCCTCACAGATTTTAGTCTTTAGCTGTTATAAAGCCAAAAAAATCAGTACAGATCCATGGACAAATAGCTAATCCACATATCACTGACGAAGCAATGTTTTTTGGCCTTCTGTATATTCTGACATTCTGATCACCTCATTGTTGGCTGCACTTAGAGCCTTTCCATTGCAGCATGGATAAGTGCACACAGTCCCGCGCACACATACAGTGCATGCAGGATGAAAGTCTGATTTTTGAGCATTAGCCTGGCAAGGTTCTTTTGGCTTTGATCTCAATCTGCATTTATTTGGATTCAGAGAGGACAATACGCAGAAAGCCCTTCATTCCATTCCTAATCCTTGATACATCAGTGTAAACATGGAACACTATAATCAATGCATGTGCCTGCTGTAAAAACCTGCTGCCTGTTTTCTCCCACCAAGCAGAAAACATGCAGCACTAATGCTTTCCCACACAGGCTGATGGATGATGTATGTGTGAACATCCGCCTACCTATACATCCTCGCACAGGCGCTCATGCACACTCTCCTGACACTTCAGTCTTTACACATAATAACTGTGAGATGAAAGCGAACCTGCAGACACTTCGCTATTTTTACTGCTGCACTGGGACCCTAGTAAATGCAGTGTGAACTAGACGTTCCTGCTTTTCAGCACGCTGACCTTTCATCTTTACTCTCCTACATTTTTATGATGCATCTTCCCTCTAACATGCATGTGTGTGTACAACATTGCCTAGGTGTGCATCTGTTTGTGTGTAAACACCTAGGTCTGAGTCTGCAGCCTTGTATTTATAACCTGCACGTCTTTGCCAGCTTACGAGACGTCGTGTATGTGTAATGTTTGTTTACGCGCTACAGTCATAAGACATTTCTACTGCGAGGAATCTTTAAGTCCTTTTTGAACACATGTCCTTCAGCTTGCACATTAAAAAAATGAATTACATTAAGAACATCCTTGAGTGCCGGTTTAAGTTACAGGTTGAGCAGGCAGCTGTATTCAGCCAGGCTAAATGCAGCAGCCCCAGGCCTTCTGCTGCATGCTCTGGAGTTCTTTACGTTTCCTTGAACATGTTTCACCTCTCATCCGAGAAGCTTCTTTAAAAGTGCATATTACTCCCACATTAGGTTCATTGGCTTCACTAGCTAATTCTAGTCTTGGAAAAAAAGCATGGGGTTCTCTTCACATACAAAGTTCTGAATCATTGCACCACTTGATATTTTAAAGATCTCATAGATCGTCCCACTTCAGCACGCCACTCTCAGACTGCAGCTGCACTTCAACTTCCTAAAGTTTCTAAAAGTAAAATGGGAGGCAGCGTCTTCAGCTGTCAGGCTTGGAACAGCTCCCAGTTTGGGTTCAGAGTCAAACACCATCCATTTTTAAAATTATTAATCAATCTTTAAGATTAAGTTTGATTAATTAAAACCATCCCCTAGTTTTCTGCTTCAATCAAAGGCTGCTGTGGGACTTCCCTTGATCCCATGATCCACTGAGCGTTTTACATGCCACTAGTACATGTCAGTAACTTCTGTCTACTTTCTCCCGCAATCTGCGTCTAATCTTGTTTGTTTTTTAAGCTCTTTGTTCGTCTGTTTCCCTCTTGTCTTCTAAATGTTCTGATGTTCGAGCCTCATTCAGGAGGTCTCTGTTTTAGCAATCAAATGAGAGAACTTCATTGATTGCTCTCTCTCTGACACTGTGATGCCTTTACCATATAGTGTTTTGAGATGACAGCTGTTGTGAAATGGGACTATATAAATATAATTGAATTGAATGTAAATTGAATTTCAGTCCTCTGATCCACGAGTCCAGTAATGCATATAAATCGTAACTGCCGAGGTTCTTTGTGTGGGGCTATTACTGTAGCAGTAATATTTTCTGCTGAGTGTGTAACTGGATCTCAGTGTGTCTGTGTGTAATCAGATTGCTCAAAATGCATTTAAAGGTTCCTTTACACATTTTCAGATCTGATTACATACAGACACATTAAGATACAGTTACACAACTCTCCAAATGCACTTGCCTGTACTTTTGCTACGATAACAGCTCCCACACCTCTTGCCTTAACAGTAACTATTTTCTGCAGTGGCAGCATGTAGTCATTAAAAATGTAGGCTCCCATTCTGGGGGTGATTCTCCAAAGAGGTCACAAGGTTCATGTGAGTGTCCAGAGATAAGAACAAAGCTTAGAAAAGCATAACGTACAGCAAATTTTTGTGGAACGTGTATGGGTACCATAAATTGTTTTGTAGCTTCCAAAAAAATACTTCAAACATCCAGGATTACGAAATCTTGCATCTTTTGTTTAACCTGATCAAATCATGATCTTAATTATTAAATTATTGTACTGATGAAGTCAGTGTCAGGAGCTAAAAAAAGAAAAAGAAAAAAAAAGATACTTTCTAGTTTCTGCAGAGTGAAGATACAAAAAAGCTGCCGTTCCATTAAGAGTTATAGAATGTATCAAAAGGTTCTCAAGGTCCAAAAGCTCTTAATGCCATAAGTTTTCATTTTGTGTGCATCTGTAAAGGTGTCAGGCTATGAGCAAGTAAGAATTCTCTTGATTAATAGATCAGCTTTACCAGACAAACACACACATACACAATGTCAGCAGGGTGCGAGTGAGCTCTCAGCCTCTGACTGCTCTCCAAAGTCAGCCACAACTCCACTTGTTTATGTTGTTTTCCACCAGTCTCCTTTTTTCCATCTCTGAAATGTAGACCAAAAATAAACACAGCCTTTTGGCCAGGCTAAAATGTTCTCAAGCAGACACACTGCTGCCTTCATTTGCAGATTTCCAGCCACTTGCGGATCATTTTCCAAGCTATAAACGGATCATCAGGCTTTTAGTCCTCTTAAAACGTTGATATGATGAAGATGTTAGCAATAATTTGACACTTTATAGGTCAAACACAAAACAAAAGTGTAATTTATTTCGAGTTTTGAGGCGGCACAGTGGTGAAGAGGTGCAGACTGTCACCTCATAACAAGAAGGGTCCTCGTTCAATCCTCCCGGCCTTCTTGGGGAGTAGGTTTCAGCTCATGGCCACAGAAACAATGGTGCGGTGCAATGCATGCAATTAAATGAAGTTAAATAGCGAAAATAAAGTGAGGATTAGTTTTGTTCGGCAGCTCTTGAGAAGATTAAGAGGTCGAGAATCAATGCCAAGCTCACTGCTACACCATCTTTGTGGGTAACGTCCAACCCCATGTTTGAGTGCGGTGTGTAGTTGTAAACAGTTTAGCCAAGACCACTGAAGTTTTTACAGCTGTAATTTAGATTTGGAAGCAGGAAGACCCCCCAGCACTGAACAGAACTGAAAGCCAGAACCTTTATTGAGCCTTGATTTGAGGTGGGTTGCCAAGTGGCTGGCACATGTGCAGCCCTAGTGGGAGAATATCAGCTGAGTATTGAAGATCAGCTTTTCTGCCAGGATTGAGCTTTGTCTCCTGTCTGAACTAACACCATGCTCGATCTTTTGTGGAACGGCTAATATAAAACCGATAATAAATGTGATTTTTTTAAACAAATTTTTAAGCTTTTGTGTCGGTATAGTTCAGTTGACAAAAGACACTTAAGCTCAGTACACAAATGAGCCTGACCCAAAAGAGAAAGTGGCATGAAATCACAACTCCTTAGCAACAAACTGTCAATCTTTCTTTTTTCCCTCTACCAGTCTTAGAAACACCTCCTGCAAACTGTATCCTTTAAAAAGACCTACAAACTTGAGTGACTCTGCTTGAATTGAAAATGTGAGTTTGAGTCAATTGACCAAGCTGCTTTGACTTGATTAACAAAGGGTTAATAATAACTGCTGGCTGTATGAGAGCATGTGTGTTACCTTGTCCTGGAGCAGGCTGTTGCTGGCTTTGTGGCTGACTGCCCACTGAGCTGCTTGCGTACAGGGACAGGATCGAGTCTTTAGATAAAAGCTTCTTCTCCTCTGCTTTCGCTGTGGTAGTGGTGGAGGTAGAGGAGGAAGAAGAGGAGGAGGTGGAGGGGTCCACCTGTGGAGTTGTTATACTGGAACCAGACTGTCAGACAGAAAGACACAGGGCAAGGAGAGAAACGTCATGAATATATAGACTTTCATCCAGACAGATTATTTCTCATACACTACAATCATGTAGTTGCTATTGTCACCATACCCTAAAAATATACATGTAATGTAAATCTCACCTAATCAGCAGAAAGAACCAGACCAGAGAAACAAGGCAGAGGAGCTTAGATTTGTTTTCTCACCTTTTCTGTCTTACCTTTTTTAATCTTTAACGTACATGAGAATAAACATGGTCATAGTTTCAGATGATAATGCCAACGTTTGTGTTAGACCCCAGTCACACTGGCAGAAACACAACACCACCAACACCAACCAGCCAACTTGCCATTTACTCTCTGAGCTGTAGGGGAAGTGTTACGAGTGTGACACAAACAGCAAAGGGAGAATATTTGCCTTCATATTAAGAGCTGCACCTGCAGGAAGGCACAACTTTTAATTTGAAGGAGAACGTTTTCAGTTTTCCATCGCGGTTACTGCCGCTTGTGTGTTGACAAGTCTTTGCAGACAAGTCGACATCTTCCATGCAAACTACGGGCAGCTGGGCAATCTACCAGCATCCAAAGCACTCACGAGTTTTTAAACCTGACAGATTTTACCCAGTGATTGCTGGCAACCTTCAGCAACCATTTGCTAACCAGTCGGGGAATATGCATTTTTCTATGGTGACTTTAAGTTTTCTGGGAGTTACCAGCTAGTCTTTATTCCTTGTGTGAGTGGAGCTTTATCTTTTTCACAGTGACTTCCACTTCCAGTCACTAAGTGATCCCTGTGAGCCAAAAACTCAGGATTCGATATTTTCTACTCTTGGCCGTGAGCAGAGAAGCCTTTCCCAACTATTGTGTAAAATCCTCTGCTAATGAGGGGCAGCCAATCAGAAGAAACTTGGCTTAAAGGAAGGGAAAAAGGGCCAAGGCCAAAACAAAGAGGAATAAGATTTTATATCATGTCAAAGTATTTTAGTAAGTCCGAGAGTCGCCTGCTTTGCTGCTCTTTTCACTGTTGCTAAACTGCTTTGCATAAATGCCAATTACTCACATTTCACAAATTAATTGCCAACAAAATAGGAAATGGTTAGAAAGACATAACCTGAAGGAAGTGAAGACAAGAGAGCAAGTTCTCAAATAAACATGAGCAGCCATAAAATAACTTTTACTGCATAAACAAAACAAAAAACAAATTAAAAAATCTGAATATAACATTTTCTGTCTGTCAAACTGTGTGTTTGGCAGATTTGGACATATTCTCTTGCTTGTACTCATAATTATAAAATAAATCCAACAGGTTTGTGTCACTGAATACACAGCAGACTTGGAAATATATTTAGTCATACCTTTGGCTACTCAATGTGCCACAGAGAGAAAAGATGGCCAAGACAGGAAAAAGACTGATGTGAAGATGGAAGAAAAAAAAGGGTCTAAACAAAGGGCCGAAAAGCAAGAGTTAAATAAAGGACAAGACAGGGGAGAAAAGAACGGAGGAGACAACATAGGAGAGAGAAGAGAGGAGCATTGTCAGTGTAAGTGAGACGGATGACATTAATTAGGCCGCTGCAAAGAGAGGAAGACGTGAACTGTTGGAGACAGGACACACGCACGCTGTTCCGCTCACATACAACTTTTCATTATAAAGAAAAAAACAAAACAAAAACAGCTTTCATGCACACACCCATTATGTTTAATGGATGGAGCTGACAAAAAAACAACACCTGCTTATAAGCTCTGCTCAGGTGTGTGTGGGAATGTGTGTGTGTGTGTACACATGTGAAGAGATGGGACAAAGACTGAAAATAGAAAGGGGGAAGGCGACAGACAGCATGAAGAAGATAAGGAGAGACAGTGTGATAAACAGCAGCTCCTGCAAGCCGCTCTGCAGTGAATAAGCACGCTGCAGTCAGTGTCACAAGCACACATCATATATTACACAAAGTTGCACACCACCCACACACAACACATAAAACACACACACACAGAAATGCAAGCACATGTGTTGTCCTCTGCTGCTTAGCAGGCAGCACTGCGCTCCTCCGTCTCTCCCAGCAGACTTCATCCGACTGGAGGAGGGAAGGCGGAGATGAGGTGGAGGGGGGAATGGAGAAGAAAATGTGGGGCAGGGGGAGCAAGATAGGAAAAAGGAAGGGGAAAAGCAAAAAGAGTGTAGGTGAAAGTAAAGGTAGGGGTGGAAAGAGGAGAGAAAAACAAAGTGAACACGGGTGAGCTGAAATGAAAAAGCGGCAGGTGAGGATGGAGGAATAACAAGAGCAGAGGAGGTAAGATGGATGGCTAGTCATACCGAGAGACATAAACACACACACACACACACACACACACACACACACACACGGTCCATTTTCTCTCATATGAAGCCAGTTAAGGTGAGTCAGGTATTGAAGGGGGCAGGAGGAGCTTCCTATTAATAGTCATAGAACATTAGCATGAAGGAAGGTGAGAACACCTGATCTGCCTCATGTCAGCGAGCTATATAACATAACTCAGTCACGGAAGCTAAGTCTGTTTCCTGCTAAGCGTTTTGGGGTTTCTTTGCAAAGTTAAAAAGAATACATTTAATAGACTTCAAAATCTCCAGGCTGCAGTAATCGTCAGCCATTCAGCTTCCTTCTTCAGGAAAGTGCTATGGAAGCGACGGCATGACTCAGACAGAGTCTGCAGGCTCTGAACCGCTGAGATAAGACCATCATCTGGGATGATTTGGGAAGGGAGCTATAACATGTGGAGCATGTGGGATGTGAGCCAATTAAAGCAGCTGGCAGGTGGGGTGAGCTTTACCAAGCTGGCACTAACATTGGGTAACTAGCTTCTGATGTCTACTTGTTGATGCAGAGCTATAATAACGCCTTCTGACGATTTGTCTATTTGTTTTAGGAGTCACAACGACAGTAGACTGACCACCATAAAGTTTTCAAATGCATCAATTTAAAAAAAAAAAGTTTTTAGCATAATCAAGTCAAAATTAAAACTCACAAGCAATTTAAATACTGAAACGGGGTGTGCTTCCTGTAATCATTCCTATTGACAATAACAAATAAGGAGTCCTTTTCTAATGTACTTTTAAGGTCAGGGTCCTGTGCAAATTGTGGATGCACATATTAAACATGGCCACAGTTTCAGAGGATGAGATTAGCGTATGCACGAGTAATCCCTCATAACCAAGAGCTCAGGCTTCACACGCTTATGTGAGTAAAACAGAACAATAATATGATCACATCTCTTTGGCTGCGAGCCTCCCAATCCCCTGTTTTTGGGAAGCAGACAATCAGAGGAAAGTTGCCTGAAGGCAGGGGGGCTAAAACTGCCTGCTTAACACAAAGGACGACGTGAGGAGCTGCACCAAGACAAACAGGGTTACTCTAGTAGCCCGATTTCCAAGAATAAACACATGGAGCTGGAAATGTGTCCTCTTTAGAGTATTTTATTTGGAAGTGATTTCTCTCTTCATACCTTCAGTGACCGTCACTTCCAGAGGGTACTAGAACCACAAAGACACATGACATTACTAATGGCTGTATTGCAATAATAATAACAGCTTGTTAATGGACAGAATGTCTGGGTTGGTTTGAGAGCTCTGTTTGGAATATGCGCTGCTGTCCCACGTTCCTGTCGTGTTCGGGTCAAATCTGACTGATTTACAAATTTAAAAACTCATAAATATTGTGTTTTACATCCGGTTTACCTCAAGGCCTTATGACTCCTCCACACTCTGCACTTGAACATATAAAAGTAAGTAAACACTAAAGTAAGGGGGTGGGTGCACACAACTGGAGGGTTAATCTGTTATACAATATTACATATCTTTTAGAATAAAAAAACAACAATAAAACAAAACAAATGAAAACTCATAATGAGGATCAGGAAAGGGAGTGTGCATCGGGATCTAGCAATTATATCTGGCCAACAGGCATGTAAACATGCCAAGCTGCTCAGTCTGCATGTGTAACTGCACACACCATCAAATAGAAGCCAGTGATGAATCAGTACAGTACAAATAACACTGCACTTTCAAAAAATCCTATCACCTAGAACACTTGCCAGATCACAGTTTAACACAGTTTGAAACAGTGGAGGAGAACAGGCATGTGCCACAGAGGCACAAGTACAGAATTCCACGTAGTGATCAAAAATAGCAGCCACTATGCAGACGTGCAGGGTGAAGATGGCCTTAAATGATGAAGTAAAGATGGCTGATATTTACAGACCCACTCCCTTAAATGTATTAGAGTCCCAGGCAGGCTGATAGGTTGCAGTCTTTCAAAACATCATATTACTGTCAAGAGATGTGTTTGGGATGAGGTGATGCAAATAAGAGTGAGCATCCTTTAACTCAAAGATGTTTCTTTAAATTGCTGCCTCTTTTGGCTTAGAACAAAACAGCTTCCACTGGCCTTTCACTCGTTCCACCATCTGTGACTGCCAGACACTCCAGGAGAATTTGCTCTATTTGCACTGAAAGAACAGCAAAGCAGTCCAGAAGGTTTTTTTGCCAAAGCTAGACAGGTGGCACACAATGTAAGAGATGCACCATTCTTGCTCTCTTTAAATGCAAAAGAAATTCATGCAGCAAATGTCACATGTGTATCGTCGTTCACAGTGGCAGTTCTACATACGCAGATACATCAAATACACACACACACCATGCTCATAGTGTGTGAGGTGCTGCAGGGCTCCTAGCAGCATATTGTGTAATAGAAAGCCTCTTCAACAAGGCTCCTTTCTTTCTTTCTTTCTTTCTTTCTTGCAATGTTGGTGTTGATGAGAGCAGCCAGAGCTCTGAATTACTGCTCTGACAGCCTTTTCCTCACTGTCACTATTCATAGACCTCTACAGCCAAACACACACACACACTCGTGCTCACTATGGTTTTCCATCACTGCTTGAAATACTCATACACTCCCCTCTGATAGACCATCTGTGGCTTTAAAACCGTAATAGGCTGTGTGTGTGTGTGTGTGTGTGTGTGTGTGTGTGTGTGTGTGTGTGTGTGTTAATTTACTAAAAACAAAAGCAAAGCTTGCCTTGGAGTAAATCTGAATTAGCCTACGAGTGTGCCAGAAAGGAAAAGAAAAACAAGCAGAGAACGAAACAAAGGCAAAAACCGAGATCGCTGGTCACTGCTTCATTACCTCACTGCTCTCTGCCTTCTCACCCTCTTTGTTGTACTCTCAACAAAATGCAGTTCATCCGTTTTCCTGTCTCGCACTTCATCCCTTCCTCAGCAATCAACTACATTGCCTTCTGTTATTTACTTCAGACCCAGACCTCCATTTCTTCCTTGGATGTAATCATGAAACCCACAAAGTTCCCATTAAAGCCACAATGTTCCATATCTGGTTGAGGGGTCACAAAAATATTCAGGCGACACATACTTTGATGCACATTTAGCATTAATGGGCTGTATGAATAACTTTAAGTGAGTCATGGCAATCATTTCCTCATACAAAGAAAACAGAGGAGAACGTGATGTTTTTGCAGTGAATTATGGGAATTTAATGCATGAAAATGCCTTTTATTGTTACCTTTGAAGAGCAACGACACATATTCATAATAAACCTCTGTTACCTCGTTCCAATTCAGTAGCCTTGGTCTTAACTGAATGCCCATGTTTTCCTGGAGAGCGCATCCATGTTTGACCTCCTGACTTGCACTGCAGTAATTCTGCAGTTTAAAGGCAGCAGAGGTTACTAGCCAAGAATCTCATCAATTCAAAGCTTTACAAGAGTAGCTGATTGGCTTTATTTTGAACACTAAGCTAAAATTATCTAAGCTGGAGGGTGAATGCTAACCTTTTTCCACTTGATAAGCGTTAACGTTGGGTTCCTAATTGCATGGCAGGATGCTGTAAACGGACCGGTTGCTAGAAATGTTGTTGTTATTTGGCGCTACATAAATAAAATTGAATTGAAATTGAATCAAAACAACCTGCCTGCTTCATCAACATCAGTAACTTTATTTAACAGGCTCTTCTCTTGTTTGTTATTGATTCCTGCTGACAACTTTTTATATTTTATTCCTGCACAGTTGGTGTGCAGCACCCACAATTTTCGTTGAACATGCACAATGACAATAAAGGGCTAAATATGTGGATTTTCTTAAACCTGGACATAACTGTCCCTATAAAAGTTAAACTGTGCTTTTAAAGGCTGAAGATCAGATTTACTAAAACTATTTGATAAACAAATGTTTTGCTGTCATTTTTACTGCTTTTCAGCTTCAACTTGGGTGCCTTCCATGTCTGTTTTATTAAGAAAGCAGCTCATTATGCAGTCAGATCCTGGACCGAGCTTAACGCATCACTCCGCCAGAGCTCAGCTGCCATAGTTCAGAGGTGGAATTTCTATGAGATGCTATACTCAGAAAATCAAAGATAACAAAGCAAACGTGGTTTGATTTTGCCTGAGAAAACTGTTTACTCCAAGAATTACAAGAGACTATAATACATTTTAGCTTTTAGGTACTTTCATGTTATTACTATTATGTGGGGAAAACAGTTTTAATGGGAAACAAAAATAACTCAGAGAAATCTTTTTCTCTCCTTGCTCTATCCCCCTTTCACTCCCCCACCACATTACTTTGAGTTTTCCAAGTAAAAAATATCTCATAACTGCATTTTTCAGACTCAGGCAGAGGTGAATGAGAGACAGAGGACAGGACGAGGAGAGAAAGTGTGTTTGTGTGAAAGGGAGAGCGAGCGCAAGAAGCTGCGGATAACACAAATCCTCCCCCTCCTACAAGGCTGTAATCGCATTTTTATAATTGACATATGCACAGATAGGCCAGCGCGCCCCGATGCCGGTTAATAGCTGCCCAAATCAGCAGGCTGCCGGCTTCCTCTTTCTTCATGGGCCCGACTAATCACAGCTGTAAAGCAATATCCGCCTGCCGAATCCAAAATTCATTCCTCAGTATGTCTGTGTGCATGTGTAAAAATCAGGGGATGTGTACTGACTGTGAAAACTGTGTTATTGTGTGTATGGCTCATATGTATAGGAGAGGAACGGAAATGAGCCGACGTGTGAGAGGTGGCGCTGCATGTTGGTTTGTGGGGTTTTCTCTCGGGAGTCTGAACCTGTTTATAGAAGACTGATGTGAGTGAGGAAGCATATGATAATATATATACTCATTATAGATCTAGAAGTGTGCAATAACAGGTAATGTCACAAGGTCATCTAAATCCCATGTGTTTCTGTTTGAGGCTGGAACATTCGTAGGTCATTAGTTTTGCAGATTTGTCGCTGACAAAGAAACAAACGTCGCG